TCCCAGTGCACACATTTGTCTGGGGTCAAGTTTGTTTGTAAATGACCCTTTTATTTCTTTTAATATGTCAAGGTCTGTTTAGTCAGTTTTTTTCTCTAAATAGCAGCGGGTTCATTTTTCAGACAGTGCACTTGTTTTTTTGGGCTCCATATGATGCATATTTACCTTCAACCAAACACATAACATATTAAAGAGAATCTGTAAAAAATGATGGCACACATTTTCTAGTTTCTTCACATTTTCTAATGCTGCTATTGTGTTTTACTGCATGGTCTCTTTCAGGTCCTGGTTTGGCGTTCATTGCCTATCCGCGGGCAGTGTCCATGATGCCCATCTCTCCGCTCTGGGCCTGTTTCTTTTTCATCATGATTGTACTGCTGGGGTTGGACAGTCAGGTATGAGTCTTCACTGTTTCTTGCGCTTCATAGTTCATTTACAGGGCCCTATGATTTCCATGATATTTTTTTTACTGTATAACACTGAATGTCACAGAATTGGGCAAAGACATTATGAGAAATATATTCTCAATGTACTAATGGTAATAATAAAGAACTATTAAGCAAAATCACATTTATTCTTCACTGTTTTAATTTCAACAATAAACCTCAGGTTTGCAGCACTCTGTTTTGCAAAAATAAAAGGTATTATTATATATAAATGTATATTTAATTACATTTAAAAAAAATTAATTGGTGATATGTTATGCCTTCATTTCATTACAAATATAATAATTTACAAGTTTATTTGATAACAAGTTTTTATTAAATCATAAATCCAGAAAAATTAAAACAGACAACACTTTAGTGTTATATTAGTGTTAACGTATTCAATTGATTAGACGTGCTTTTTGATTACTAAAATTTTGTTAAACCATTAAAACAGAATGAGAAAAACTTAAAATGGAAATCACAGAATTAGGGAAAAAATAAAACTGAATTTGGGGGGAAAACAGATTTAATAGGGCTCTAAAAATTTAATAAATTGTTGTTAAAATTGTACAGGTTTTATGACTTAAATGAGACATGCTTTTTTATTGCTAAAATGACATTTAACATTTAAAACGAAATCCTAAACAATTAAAATGCAAGAAAGAAAGAAAAAAACTGAACAAATTAAAATGCAATTTTGGGACAAAATAAAACGGAATACATAGGGCCCTACATTTCAACATTTTATTCTGTGCATAATCCTGAATCATGATTTGAAAATGTTTGCATACATTGTAATATTAAGCCCCAAACTGACAAATAATTACTCAAGTGGCTAGTAAAAAATCCACAGAAACACAGATTTGTTCATCTGCTCTAGTTCGTGTGTGTGGAGAGTCTGGTCACGGCTATGGTGGACATGTACCCGACTTTCTTCCGGCAGAAGAACCGCAGAGAGCTGCTCATCCTCGTCGTGGCCATCGTGTCCTTCCTCGTGGGTCTCATTATGCTCACAGAGGTACTGGACCAACTCATCTGACTCTGATCATTTTATCAATTGATTTATATAATTGGCAGATTTATAAATTGTCTCTGTCTGTCTGTCAGGGTGGAATGTATGTCTTCCAGCTGTTTGATTACTACGCAGCCAGTGGGATGTGTTTGCTATTCGTAGCTGTTTTTGAGACCGTCTGCATCGCTTGGATATACGGTGAG